CCACTCTGACCGACAAAGGCAAAACAACACTTTCACCTTAAACTGCAGACTGACAGTGCAAGGAAATCGTAGTTAAGTATGAAAGGATAACTGGGATTAAATGGATCAAACTACCAGAAAACTACACAGTAAGAACCAGAAACAAGACCCTGAGATTCACAAGTGGTCACAGTATTTTTACAGGAAAGTAAAACCTGCACTTAACTGTTAGTTCAGCATAAAGATTTAGAAGATTCAAAGCCATCACGTGAGATATTTCGTCAGATATTCACTTGATAATCTACCCAAGAAAACACCTAGAAGCTGATGGCATCAGGACTAAGAAACCAGGAACAGAACATTTTATCCAGCTAGTTATATAAGAACAAGTGCTCTCTACACCACTCAGCCAGTAGCAGGTCCACAACTGTAAGGCCACTAGACAAAAGACGCTTGCGAGGATTTTAAAATACTGCGAGTCTTTTTGTCCCCATCGCCAGGTCAGCATGAGCCTCACAACAATGAGTCAGTGACACTGATGTGATTGAAACTACTGTACAAATTCCCAACTAGAACTCTGCCAAACTGATGAAGAGAAACGAAGCACAACGACGCTGAATCCATTTTAGTCATAGCAGTACTAGGCAGCCTCTTCAGTTAACGTTCCACGCGAGGCAACCTTCAAAAAAATGGCATCGGGTTGTATTTTAATAAGAGACACAGCCTGGTTCTGGTAATGGGGTCTCCAGGGTGTAAAGGGCTAAAACATATGCCTTGTATAGCTCGAGCACTTCTCAAAAATGCTCTTTCTCCAAATGAGTTATAATTTAAGCTTCTCTTGCTTGGAGGCACCCACTTCCTGTAAGACTAGTTGGGTGGTTTATTACTTAAAGGTCACTTAATATTCTGTAACATAAAAAAAAAAACATCTTCTCATTACCACCAGAAACTTGTCGAAATTCATAGAGAATTTTGTCCAAATTCCATCAACCAGAGTCTGTATTTAAGGTAGAGCAAGAGAGAGGAGAGCTTAGTAAGTTATGGGGAGAGTAAGCTGAATGAAACATGAAGCATCCACGAGGACGTAAGTAAAATGGCTCCTGAAAATAAACTACCCAGACAACATCTAAAGACACGGAGAATGTTTGCAAAGGTTGCATGGTGCCTTAGAAACC